TCCCGCTCTAGTTGTTGAGTGTCCCTCCCCCCTTACAAACAAAATTCTTTCCTGAACCAATGTTTTATCAAGAAGATTATGATCTGAAGAATAGCTTCGAGTTGTCCCGACAACACTTTAGGTTCGTTCCATTCATTTTATCATCAACAAATCGATAATGCATATTCAGGAAGGTGAACGGATGATTGTAAACAATCAAAGGTTGTTTTAGAAAATCAATAAATGAGGGAGTAATGCGGTGGTGGCCGGTGATGCATTACAAGATCATACAATGTTACCAAAATGTATGTGCGGCATACAACGGATACCAAAAGCGTTTTCAGACAGTAAACATTGTTGTGTCTGCTACAGGTTCCAGTCAGTACGACTAAGACAATTTTGAAATGCTACGTTAGTCTTCAGTTTATATTAGTAAGTATACTTTTGTTATCCATTTTGATCGGCAACAGGAATTACTGTAACAGAACATTGAAAATCAATAAAAATGCATTCTAATCTGCCCAAATTGTTTGTGTTCACCGGACGGACTTCACCGAACAAGCATCAAAACGCCAGCAACGAACGTACCGGGGATTTTCTGGATAGATGAGCCATGAAGTGAGTTGGTGAAATGGAATACGAACAAGCACATCTCCGTACATCGGATCTGGCCCCGTAGTCTGATGCGCTTCCTCCACTGTTTCCGCATCGATCGAATGATTCCGACTGAGAAGCCATAGGTCAGTCTTTGTGAGTAGTATCGTTTGCGTAAGCGGTTCGGGCGAGGCGGAAGCGGAACGACAGGACAGAACGTAGCTGAACAAATCGTTCAATTTGATCGGATCCATGGATTCTGGGGCAAGTCAAAAGTGGATCAACGAGGTCGGCGAGATGGGAGGGAGTGAAGAAATTACAGTTGATTACATGTGACGTGATTCGAGTCAAGTGTGCTTGATTTCGTCAAGGGATAGATTTCTATTGGGTGGTGTTGTTGTTACAATAATCTCATCAGAACAAACATTGAAGAAAATGATGTATTTATTCGATGTCAACACTGCAAATTAAAACAATCTGTTTTCTCCTTCATTGGAACTTGTACACAAAGAAAGATGACTCGACAACTACGATGGACATGTTTGTGATAACCAACAAAGAGCACTGGACAACTGTTTCGTCCTGTTTGGGGCTCGTCAGTAGTGCGCACTTTTTGTGTCCCTGTTAGGACTCGAACCACAATTCTTCGGGCTAGGACTTCAAACCCTTACCCTTGAGCTACACGGTCTCTCCTAAGGAGTGAAACCCACAGTCACACCCAAGACCATCAAGAGTGCCTCGTGTCTCTGAAAAATCGAATGGGCTAATTCAAGCTTGATTCTCTAAAAATAACTAGACAACACCCTCGAAGATGATGAAAAAACACCGGTGGTTTCAATCGAAGGTTATCTTTTGTTTCTTAGAATTAAATCAGTTTCCAGGACTTCTGTGGGAGACGGAAGAGTATGGTTTTTTACCATCCCCTTATGGGATGGGCAGTAGTGGTATACCCTGTGGTTCTGAGAGCTGCAACCCAAACTCTTGGACTTGTATTGGTGAATAACGAGGTAGGCATCGTGTTAAATTGATTGTCACTCAGGCTACCTGATGTTAAATTAGAGATGAGACAGCCGGGTCGGGACCTTGGACCGCCACACGAGAAAGAAACGTTAATGGTTAAGTAAACTGAAGAACTAATGTTAAACTAAACGCCAGAGTTAGCTCCGGGTAGCCACGGAATAGAATTAGTAGTCCGACACGGCCATTTTATATGCTCTGTTGACGGTTGCAAACCGGGAATGAAAAAAGTTGCACACTGTTTCCCGGGTTTTCATTGGTACAACTGAAATGTTATCATTGTGGGATAAATCATTTTTATCCAAATGATTTCTGATGAAGTAAACCCAGTACTGATCTAAAAGGATATATTTTCCAATTCGAACGATGTTATTAATAGTTTCAAGATTCAAAGGAAAAACGAGACAGTTTTGCAAAGTTAAAAGCTTATGACGGAACTTCACCGCTGATCACTGTTCCAAATTGCACCTTCACACGGGCAACCGACAGCGCACGAAAGTGCATAGTTAATGGTTGTACAAACTGAAAACTGTATTGTTCAAAACCCAAACGCGACGGAGCAGCATCAAACAGCAACCTCACGGAAATATCACATAATCCGAACCAACTGCGTTTGATTGATCGGTTTTTTTTAGTTCTAACCTAGAATCAGGTGATTCAACGCACAGAGCAACACAGTAAGGAAGATTTACGACAGCGTTCATTTCCGCAAATGAAAGCGCATACATCGCAGTCGTGCTCGAAGTTGGACGTTGCTATTGTGTCAACGAAAAACATAACGATGTAGACAGAAGCCCAACACCAACCACGAGTTCGATCACATGATTTACCTGGTACGCACACGCACACACACACACGGATAAAACAAACGAAAAAATTTCAAGAACCACTGGAAATGGACGAACCGAGAGATACAGTCATACGGATGGCTCACAGTTGGTTTCCGTGCTAGGAGAGCGTGATAGTAAGCCAAGATCAAATGTAGTGCACAAAAAACCATTGACCTTGCCCAGTTTATCAGCAATTTCTCAGTTAAATGAAGTTATTCAAAAATTTATTTGCTTTCACCATATCGTAATGGGTTGTATCGTTATCGCACCAACTTCGGTTTGGTTACCGAGACGTTGCAGAAGAAATGGATGGGTTTAAAACCATTTCCTGCACTACCACTCGGTCGTTTTGCACAACCCCTAGACCGGGTCAGAAACGAGAGAAAATACGTGATAAATACGAAACAGTGTTTGCCCGAGAAGAGCAAAAAAGAAAAGTCAATACCTGGGTTGGTGAAGCACTGGCAGCCAGAAAACGCTAACTACAAACCTTTAATAAAAGGAGTACGAACTGTCAATGATCAGCGGCTTGACCGAGGTTCTTGACGGGGTGAAGCACGCCAAAAGGGGAATATGATCGGAGAGATCGAACACCGAGACCCAACGTTCTAGAATTTCACACACACCAACCACCTGATGTGCAGATTTGGGTTTTGGGTAACTGATGACCACGGTTAGGAATCCATATGAAAATCATCTGCTTCGACATGCCATTTATAGTTCGCACACGAGTTAGCCGTGAATCGATATCCGTATTATCCGGAACATTACATCCAGTCTATTTTGTTGTCTTTTTTAGATGGAATATTCCATTGATTGCAGAGGCAATACCGTTCACTGTATACCGAAAAATATTCCTCCGTTAGACCAAAATTACGTCATAATTTTAGCGGAACTGAGTATCAATGGTACTGTCCAAAGATCGGGGCAACAAAAATGTCTAATCCAACATTTAGGACACCGACAAAGAGTCAAACACAAATAGGATGCCTTGCGCACAGTCGGGCATCAATTCATGAGATGGAATTAATCGATTGATTTGATGGATCCGTCATATTTTCTATTCTGTAGCTGGATAGTTCAAGCTCACTATTCGTATAGTATCGAGTTTAATTGGATTTTAATTTATCTTTCGAAGATTCATGATCTTTCTCGTGTTCTAACTATTTAGACTAGCCACACACATAACAGGAACAATCAGTATTTTGTGCTCTATGAGTAGAATGCGATTTGTGATAGAGGTAGTTTCAGTTTCAGCATGTACAACCATTAACCATGCACTTTTGTGCGTCAGTATTGGTTGCTGTCTTTTGGCTGCCCATTTGGATGAAGTAGCAGGAGAAAGGCAGGAAAGTTGAAAGTAGATTTGAAGATAAAATGGTGGACGCAGCCACAACATGACCTCACCTAATCGGTTTCTTCAAGACTGGTAGATGTTACTCCAAAGCACCTGGGCAACAACTGTGCTAGCATCATTGGTTGCCACCAAATCTACCCTGGCATTTGAATTCCATGACTGTCAAAATCGAAAACCTGCTACGAGGTCAGACATTCTCTCTGTTGTTTTCCGTGCATATTATTGCACGATGACAAATGAGTGGGATAAAGCCCGAAAACGTGAAGAGAATCCATCATTCATTCAATCATGGCAGCTGGTAATCAGAACTGTGGCAAGCAAATTGGCTGGCCAAATATGCCCCGAAAAAAACGATCTTACCAGTCATCGCTCCAAACTGCGGGAATCGCTGCGTGAAGGTCTGCACAAAGAGAACGGGGAATTTCATGTATCTGTCTTTGAACTGGACACTACAACCATACGCATCGGCTTTCAACAAGTAAGAACCTTCTGACCGTTCATTAAGATCGAAGTTGGAAGATAGATATGAAGGGGTTCTAGCAAGCAAAGTTTGGTTGAAATTAAAATTCCCATGTATCAGTAAATATAAATATATCTATATATATACTTATTCTGACGGAAAATGTGACCATACAAGGCGTAAAGGAAAGCAAAAATGAACAGCTACGGGAGGGAAGCAGCTTGAGACGATTGATTCCCAGTTCTATTTTCGCATACCGCACACCTTGTAAGAATTTATTCACAACTAAGCTATGCACTAATATCACGCATACCTGGATGGCGAACTGCAGCTGATTAATCAAGTGTTTAGAAAATGTCTTTACTAAAGAGTCAATTTACTTCGTCAAGCGTGTTGATAAATACACTCCAGAAAAAAGACCGAAGCACGAAATACACCTTTCCCAACTTACCTTCCGATTCAAAGGATACAAGGTGAAAATCAACGCCGGGGACGAGTGAATTTTCTAATGCCTAATACACATGCTGAACTGATTACTGTACACTCTGTGTGGTCAGACTGCATTTACAACACTATAGAGAAAAATATCATCAGATAGATGTCTCTAAGTTGCCTCAAGCATGATATTTGGACTGACACAAAGTTCGCATATAAAAATAAACCGTATTTCAATCTGAGCAATGATATTACATTTAACGGTCAAACTTTCACATGTTCGACAAGACACGATTGAAGCATTCCTTGTTCGTATACGGGTGCAAATTGGAGAATCTGAGTGAATGAGATCATCATGAGTCAAATGCTTAAGGTCCACATAACTTGAAGCAAACAATCGATAGGTGATGTTTTCTCCTTCGAGTAGTTAAACAACCACGTAGCGAATTAGGCAGTACGTTTACTTAAAGTAGGTGCACAGTTAGCCCGCCTGTTGTGTCCCGTGAGCAAGCAGGGGTGTCAACACGCAAAAAGGTAGACATGTCGATAGATGCTAGCGTTACATTACACTAGAGAGCGCTCAATTGACAAATAACTCAGCGCAGACTGTTCAATACTACCATCGGACTGGCTGAAGCGGATCGACATTGAATAGAGTAGGCCATCTGAAGTGCGTTCGGAAGTGTGGCAGTATAGTTAACGGGTCAGTCAATTGTGAGTCACATAACTTCCCCTTTAACAAATAAGCATGGGATAAGTAGCTGACGGGGGGAAAAAGTGAAAAATGAAGTTATGAATGTTATCCTAGTCACGACAATGGTTCTGAGCGCAACTCCGGAACCTATTCACGAGGAATTGAATTCTTATTCTCCTGTGCGCCTCTCCCCCCCTCCCCTCGAATAACCTCCCTTTGGACAGTTTAGGATTGATAAGCGGTGCACAGCTTCGTCTTGTATTAATCATCGAGTTATCTACCAATTTACGGGTACATGGTGTGCAAGCGTTGTTGTTGTTTGTTTCAGGAATGGCGTTTGTTCGTTGCCCCACTGACTGACTAAAACACTGATAACATCTTTCATGGATTCGTCTCGCGTGTTTAGCGCGTCCAAGATCCATCGACCTTCGACAACCAGGTATAGTCATAGTAACTTAACACATAATTCATTGGTAACTTCCAGAGTGGAATTAAATACACAAATGTAGTCTTCCACGAACCCCAAGAGTCATCGGAGGGTTTGGCAGTAGGATTACTCCAACAGCAAGGAACGGTACAGGATGCTGAATAAACAGACTGCCGTAGAAAAGATTCCGCTTCAGATCACGGAAGAATTACTCACCAAACTATCTGAAGCAGAAATGTTCTCGAAGCATGGTTTCTACGGTGCACATTTCCACGCGGCTTTAACTGAGGATTTGAACCCATTTCTGGACCAAGAAGGATAGTATTTTTATAAAGGTGATTCCGATGGATCCGAGCAGTGCCTCAAGTGCCTGACAAAGGTTTACGCAGCTGGTGAACTAGTGAACTCACGGAGACTATGTTTTTCGACGAGCACCTTCATATTATTCTATCCGCTGGCGATTCCGGCCTCGGTTTTGGAGCCTTTTTGTCACGTTGGAGGGAAGAGAATGGTGGTGTGCGTGCCGATCCTCTTCGGCGACTGAAAGAAAGTATTCTACGGGTGAAAGAGAAGCGTTCGTGTGTGTATGAGTTACTGAGAAGTGGTATTTGCACTTATTTGGTCGTCCATTTACCTTATAAACTGCGCTAACTTGTTTTTTCGGTCGTGGCGATAAAGGTCCCAGGACCCTGTGAATCAACCGTTTGTACGCTCGACTACTTGATTAAGATTTTAAACTATAGTTTACCGCTGGATAAGAAAAAGCAGAAAAAGCCGTCTTACATCTCCCGGGTGAAGATATTGAGAAGCCCAACCAGAACACCGTCAGTGCAGTGCGATAACAAGAAGAATATTGAAGGACCATTAAGAAACAGCTTCGGTTCTGACTCGGGTTAATCAGTATCTCCAATCGTCCTGGACGGATAAACGATCCCTTCCCGTGGAGCTCACTCCGCACTACATCCCCATCGAGGGACAAAAAATCAACTGATCCAATACAACTATGAATAAAGACCGAATCCCACGACGGATCACCACTGAAATGAACGTAAATCGCGCTGGATTCATAATCTCTAACGGTATTGGTGATATGATCCATCTAAACAAGGATAATTGATAAGGATAGAAATGGACGGGTGGAGGGGCTGATGACGGCGATCAATCTGCGGAAAAATGTAGTTTTGAGGATTGTAAAGAACTAAATAATCATGTCTCATGCAGTAATCAAAATTTAAAGTTACTTACCGAATGCATGGGGCAATTCAACAGCACCCAGAAATGCCATCTCAAGGGGTTCCGGTAGATCTTCTGGGACAAGGACCACATCGGGGACCGCTGGCGTCGATCCAGAGGCTGCATTTGCGTCTTTTGGTGTGTCCTGTACCGCTTCCGTGCGATGCGGACAAATTAAGGCAGCATTCCGCACCGGATTAAGCTCGGGAATGGGAGTCAGGTCGAAACGAACCGGCGGCAAACAACTGGCTGACCAATCGACCGGCGAATCTCGAACGAGCTGAGCGGTGCCCGTCGATATGGTATGAGGTGACGGGACCTGAAATAAACGTAAGCAGTTAATTTATTAGAAGGCCTAAAAAGCCGGATTGAAAAATCACGTACGCAGAGGTAGTGTCACTGTCTACGGACTATTGAGGATTGAAATGGAACAACTTGTAACTTCGTGTTCCACTTCAATATAAGGTTGGCATTAAATTCCGAATATGTTTGTGTTATGTCGCCAAATTATCATGTTTTACTCCGCTTATATCCGTTTGCTTACTATTAGGTCGCACAGCACTATATCCTAGGTGAATACCACAAGTGCAAAGAACACAAGAATAGCACAGTAACAATAGTAGCACACGCGAAATGTGAACAGCGAACTAACACGAAGTCTGTGAGCGGATGATAGTTCTAGGAGCAGAGGCTACCTAGGTGAAACACGGTCGGCTACCGATCTCTCAGGCCTCCCAAACACGCGGAAAAGACACGGCTTCAGCAGCACGGGAGTTTAATGGCGTTGAGTACAAGTCATGAGTCACAAGTCAATTTACAAGTTTTACTCTGTTGTTCATATGTGACTGAAAATAAGATTGATCAATGCAAGAAAACGAATGTACCAATGAAATACACAGTGAGCAATGTTCAAACGGCCATAGGCTGCGGATCAGACGAACGGACAGAGTGAATATTGCCGTACGACGCAATATTATTGATTTATCTCCGCGAAATTAGTATTGATCCTAATTAGGGTCGAATGTGTTGTAAAGTTGTTTGATTTTGTTCACAGAATTAGCAAGTGTGCAGCCGGGCTTATCGTCGGACCAATGGCATTGTTCTTCGTCCCAACAGTGTGGTTTAATGGTGCAAAAAACTCTAAGGAATACGATTATTCCTTGACCTCTTGTGAGCACAATATACTGGATGAATCATGTAGTAAACCCGGCGATGGATTTATGATCACACTGCGAGACAGAAAAAGGACANCCCCCCCAATAAAAATATCATCTTAAATATGAAACAGAAACGACGCTTTATGGCGAATAAATCACGGGATTGCTGACATTTGTCCGTTGACAACATTGAAAATGACCCGCGTTGACCTATTTTACTGAAAGGAAAGCGCCAAAATACAGACGAAGCAAATCTGTGCGCTCTTCATTCGGCATGAAAGCCACTTTTTACATTACGATCATCGAAAATAACATGTATGCATAGAAGGCAGCTGATGGGTTGTGGAGTGATCGTTCTAAAGTCAAAGCCAAAGTTTTATTATGGGAATTACTTACAGCCTCATGCTTCTCTTGTCCCAATAGGATATTTACACAATTGAAGCGTTTCTTGACAAAGAATAACAGAGTTCGCGGTACGAGAGATAACAGATAATGTATTCTTCAACGAATTTGCGTTTGTTTTTAGTGGTGAGGGAATGTGAGGTGCACCAAGTTTTCATCGAGGCCCCGCTTGAAAGACTCAATAGTTGGTGTACAAACGACGTGAGAAGGAAGGGTGTTCCAAGTACTGTACACTCTGATTGCAAAAGATTGATACCGGCATTCCAGTTAACACTGTGGAATCAGTAACTTGAAAGAATGTCCCTTAAGGTGTATATTGTTCGATAGCATGAACAGCGATCGACATGGATGGTTTGGGTTCTGCAGTATTTGATACGTCAAAATCAAGTCTCCCCGAGTTCGGCGGTACTGAGTAGAATATAGTCCCAACGATCGTAATCTCTCCTCATAAGTGAAATAATGCAATCCCTTGAACTTCTTGGTGGCCATTCTTCGTGAACGCTCAAGCATCTTGCGATCACGTTGCAACCATGAAATACAAGCTTGGATGGCGTACTCAGTATACGGTCGAATGTACACTGATGGCAAACCCGGGAATAGTGATGATTCAAACCGGCCAAAGACTNAAAGCCGATATCCTTCACAGCAGCGAACGAAGCTTTAGCGCAACTGATTGAGCAGCTTAATTCCTCTTGAACAATTATACTTAAGTCCTTTTCACATGAAGTATATGGTAGCCACTGATTCCCGAGAAAATACGAGAAGCTTTTCTTGTGGCGCAGGGATGAATTGTATTTAAAAACATTGAATTCAATGTCATTCTCCTTAGACCATTGATAAGCTGCGTTAAATGATTCTTAAAATGTTAGAGCCCTTGGGTTCTGTCACCGTATCCCAGATTTTTGTGTCTACAAGCAGTTTTGTTTTGGGGCCGAACACGTTCGATAGATCATTTATGAATGCGAGGAAAAGACGGGGACCGAGTACAGACCATTGTGGAACACCGCGAGTGGTGTCGATAGATGCGGATAGGGAATCCGAAACACGAAGTGATATGGTCCATCGTCGGAGGAATGATCTAATCCAATCAAATACGAAATCTCGAATACCGTAATTGTAGAGCTTTTGTCACAAAATTTGGTGATGCACCCAATCAAATACTTTCGAGAAGTTGAGATAAATCACATCCCCCGCATCCCCTTCGTCGACTGTTCTGGTCTAATCATCTCGAACAAGAAACAGGTTGGAGGGGGCAGGATCGCTTTTGCCTGAACCCATGTTGAGCTGTCGAAATAATGTTGTTACTTTCGAGGTGTTCTATCAGAGAATCTGCCACAATTGACTCCTTGACTTTCGATAACACCAGAAGCAGGGTTACAGGCCGGTAGTTAGCGAGGTCACTATGACAACCACCTTTGTACATGGGCGAAATAACTCCTTGCTTCCACGATTGTGGGAGTGTTGCTTGGTCGAACATTCGTTGGAACAGAATGGCCAGTGGTTCGGATACGTGATTCGCCAAAAAGATCAGGGATTTCGGGTGTGTAATGTCCGCACCTGAGGTTACACTTTTTCGCAAAGCTATTAGTTTTGCTTCTGCAGTAAATGATAAGTTGGTCAGCAAAGGATATAGATGATGCAACCGGGGAGGTAGGTATAGACCTTCATCCTGCGGTGCAGCGAAAACGTTGGAATACTGAGTTTTTTAGCATTTTAGCTGCTTCCTTTGTAGTGGCTGCAATTCGCCCAGCTCAACTCAGTAGCGGTATACCAAACTTTACTTTTCGAATTGAGCTAACGTGCTTATACTAAAACTTAGGGTTAGAGATGAACCTCTGTGCTAGGGCCTCTTGGTATTTCAGTTTATTCTCACGAACCAGCCCGGGGACAGGGGTTCCCCAGCATACGATAATTATTCCACGTGACAACATCCGGAAGACGTTTATAATCTCTCCAGTATAGAGCCTTCAGAGATAGCCATTGCCTCGTGCGGCTTCGGATAGGTGAATTTCGGATGCTGGATTTGGTGATTACTCTAATCACTGATGTCATTAGGTTTGTAAGGCTGTCAATAAGTTTCTACCAGGCGACCAACAGATTGGGTTCCTCGTCATTGGAAACCCACTGAGTAGAGAGCGCCAAATTTTTCAACAGTGTATAGTCTATGGATCTGCGCGCGTTCTCTGGGAAACTTCCTTGAAAATAATCGTAACAAACATTTGAATGTAAGTACTGTGTGATCGCTACGTCCTAGGGGAGAAGTCACATTGACAGATTCTACCATCAACTCCTCGTTAGTCAAAACTAAATCCAGTATGGATGATGACTGTAGGAATCTAAGTCTCTAATGGAGTAGTATCTAAAATTCTGTTTCTATTTGATCTCAACGTGGCTAGTTATGAAGCATTAAGTGCTCCGTTCTATCACATGCATAGCAGGTTACGATTTATCAATCGACAAGTGACGTGGCTTCTCTTCTTCTCCTTCTTCGCTAGCACTGAAGAAAAAAATACAGTCCACCAGCAGCTTAAGGTAAAGCGCCAAAAATAAACAGAATCGAGAAGTTATGCTTCTTCTTCTTGCTGAGTATTTGTACGGCCTCTCTCATTGCTACGGTTACTATATTTACTGGTCACTAGGTTTATCGTTTCGTGGTGTTTTGAAGTTTTTTCCCGGAATAACCAACCAGTAAGCGACGCATATCACCGCTGGGAGTGTGCGTCAAACTGAGCTGGGACACAGCTGGTTTTGCTGTTCATTGGCTTTTGACAAATGAGCGGATTCTAATGGAACTGTGTAACCCACTGGATTACCTTCTACGAAGAGTTCCGCGGCAGCAGCCAACTAACACACCTATATGAAAAATCAACTCAATCATGACCGATAAAATTCATCTCGCCCACTTTCGGTTTATAATGACGGTCCAGACTATGACGATCACAAGAGACTGTCAAATCAAGTAACTGATAGGACCGATTTATCCATATTCAAAACCACCTCGACGATAAGTGATATCATTCGCGTGCCCAAATGAAACCCAATATGTAATTCACACAAGTATGAATTCAGACCGTGTATCAAACAAATCACGGCACAATAATCTTTATGAAAAGAAAAACATTCCATGATTTGCATGTGGGCGGAATACTGCCAGATTGTCCAGGTCATGGCAGATGATTTTTGGGGGAGTTCACAACCGGAGCCTTCGACTAGCCAAGGCCTAACCCACAAGACAGCGGGGTAGTGTGGGAAAACCTCAGTCTATTGGGTACGGTGTCCAATTCATCAGATCATGCGCCCTCTGAACGGCCACCAAAAGTCCAGGGTGACCAATAAACCTCGATGCCCAATGGAGCCGGTGACCACTGCCATACTTAGGAAGGTGTTGGTGTTTCGTACGCCTCTTCTTGGTCGGTTTGGAATCAGGGTTTTGACCAACTCCCTTAGGTGAACTGCCAGTGATCCACCAACCCGGTTATAGCCCCGGATGTCGGCTTTTTGTCCTCTCACTTGTTGGTGCAAAAACACCTCCACCATGAGAAAGCAGTGNCAGCAGAGTCGATTTGAGACGCTTGGTCGTATGGGAGCATTTCGCGAAGTGCAAAGGAAGAGTGACCAGTTACAACCAAGACAAACCCCCGACCATAAGACAAATGAAGTTTGTTTAACGAATGGCGAAAGACTTGGAAGAAAACAATAAAAGCCGTGTGTTGGACTCACGTGATCCCCGTGTGTAGTATTCAGCGCGGGGATCGAAGAGACGTTTTGGTCTGCCGGGCGATTGACTTGAAAGATTACATTCGTGAGTGTATGGATCCACTGGAAAATCAGACCGGGTATGAGCCAAGGTTGGGACACACATGGGGGAAACGAGAACGGAAAGAGTGAAAGTGAAACAGACTGGACACAGGGATGAGGCGCATAGAGGAATAACAGGAACTCTATGACTGAGAATCACAAACGGAATGGATAGAAACAGATCAAACTGTCCAAAAACTGAGGTAGTCTGAACACCTTAAATAGTGTTTTTGGTCGCGAGAGAGAACATTCAAATAATTCACGGGGAAACTCGTACCATTACTACTTCTTTTGTGCACAACGGATCCACAGAAATCAGAACACAAATTTCCGGGCAAACCCCAGAAAAGTACCCGGTTTAACTGAATGTGGGTGACGCCATGTTCCCACCCCAATATGGACTTTCACGAAATGGACCTTTTAAAGCATCGGCTATGTAATTTCTACTCACTGCCTTCCTTCGGTCAGTCGATCGGGTGTTAGGGTGTACGACGTAGGCTGGAAGTGTAACTTGAGCTTCAAAGATGGGATGAAAGCCGACTCAGTGAACACCGACCCTCAACCAACTACGGTTTTCACGCCGCTCGACTGCCTCGTCCCCAACGCTTTGGCTAGCCAAAAGCACCGATAGCGAATCCCTAACATGTCCCCTCCTTTGACTCGAGATACCTGAAATTATCGGGTATACAAGAAAATCACAGAAAATATCACAAACAAATTCGTATAATCCGCTGCTCTTTGTTGGTTATCATCCTCGGGATCCTTTCACTTATCTAATCCACCATACACATGAATGCATGGTTGACTGGATAACCTCAGTATTGTGCATGTGAAGATGAAGGCTGAATGATCGCCAATCAAGCTTGGTAACAAACTTGACCCACATTACTACTCACAAGTAACTGAGAGCTTTCGTGGGAAAAATCATGGATTTACCGCACATTCGTGCACCATAATTTATTGAACGCAAAGTACGCAGCCAATTCAGAGTGGAACACAATACACATCAACGGTAATATGTGGGTAGTTCACACCATCATTGCAGTGGGATCGCAACAAGCAACTGGGTTGAATCGGTCTGTAAACCAAATGGACCACAGGAACAATTTCCTTAAACCCGGAACGCTGACATTGCCAAATCAGGCACCAACATCGTGAAGAAAACCAAATTCAACCAACTGCAGATTTTGTAGAGAGAAAAAATAAAAAAGGGGTAGGAAAAACAAGGAGGGTTGGGGAACAAATTCCAACACACAGGAGTAGCGTGGACGGATCACCGGAAGGCCCGAGAACAATAAATCAACCAGGAGTGGAACAAAGAGAGTGAACGCCTGAATAGGCTGACAAGAAACGCCAATCCATATACTGTTCTTATTTCCCCGCACACATATACACACACTTCATTGAGAACAGAGTAGATTTCAATTGCTTGTCTGTAGTACGACTCCATAACCGGAGTACTACAAAGATGGAAGGAAACCGCTGAGTACCTGAATGTTGTTTTTCACGGAGATTTTGCCGGATCGGAAAATAGCAGTTCTCGTTTTACTAAATTAAGAAAGCCTTTCTTCTCATGTCTTGATTCTCGTATATTTTCTTCAACCTTGCCTTTCAATAAACTTTTTTATATTTACCAACTGGTTTTCTCTCCGCTGGTTACTGGCTGCTTTAAACTGTTGTATAAATGTCTCTGTTTTTTTATCGATTTCACGTCTCACCCGGCTCACCATATCACCATATCAGTGGTTTATCAAAACCCTAAAACCAAACCCATAGACTGGTTTACATTGACTGAACTCATGGTGCCTTAGTCATGCAGCTATTTTAAGCTCCCGCAACAACTCCGGTGCGCCGGTATCTTCATGACCCCGAAATAACCGAATTCTGAAATGGACTAGTTGCCTTTTCGATTGCTGCAGACATAATAAGTAGTTTCCAATCTAAGACATCCCTGTAAACGGGTCCGGTAACTTGAAATCAGTAATAACAAACTGATATTTAAACTTGGTCGCTTTGAAAAATGATCATTTGGGAACACTGGTAGGCACGAACTTCCGCATAAAAGTCATCCATCGTGTCTTACGTTACCCAGTATTAGACATAATTAGGGTAACTGATTTCTGGATTGTTTGTCACTGAGTTAAACTAACTAATTTTGGCTTTTCCCTTTTGTAGCTGCTGCTTCCGTTGACACTGTTTAAAATACTAACTGTAAAAAAACTAATGGCACTTGTTAGTTGTACCACAAGAAATCAACGGACAAGTATGATTGAAAACAATGATTAATGATTCTAGCGAAAGATTGCTTTTCCCTGGAGATCTATGATAAACGTCGCAGAATAGGCAAGGATGTACTTCAACAATCTCGCATTCATATAGGGCTGGAATGCACGCACTGGACCGTCCAATCCGCATAAACCCCGGCGGGGGGAGGGTTGAACCTCGGCAATCGCACACACTTCGACAACGCGATTTACAACCCAAAACTGAAACGAGCACAATCTTACGCTGATTGAGACCTGAAAAGTTGAATAAAGGCAAAATAACACTCCACATCAACCATGTCTTGATAGAACTTCGACATGCCAGAACGAATGATGACAGTACAGTGATTGGAGACGGACGGGAGACGGACAAGGTGGATCACATCCCCGTGAGACTAGCCCAACAACAAAGGGCCCCGCATACAAAACCGGCAACATACTCTTGGGAAGAAATCATTGTCAACCTGAGATGGTCGTACCCAAACAAACAGAAACTATTTAACCTGATATAAAACTGAGAAAAATTTGCAGAACAACGATGAAACCAGGTGCATTGACGTAGTTAAAAGCGAGGCAAAAATTACTTAAAAGGTTTCTTTAGGAAAGAAAAGCTTTCACGTACTTTAGCACCCGCGTAGTTCTAGACTTTCATTCACTTTTCCACAATCAGCTGCAAGCGGACCTGGACGAAAATTGCACAAGCGTAGTACCGAAACAAAGGTGCTTTGCTTGCCACTAAATGGATAACTGACTGGTCGAGGTAGTATCGAGATCGTAATCGCCAGACTCACAACCAGTGAAGCGTAAGGATTAGTTTATGTCTGAACAATGTAGTGTGACAAGAGAATTCGAGGTATCATATGCGTGTTTTGCCGACACAGCACACATTCGCATTGAAGGCATCCGAGGTTCTAGCCAAGGCAGTTTTTGGGGGGTATGGTGAGAAACGGTCAGAGTGAGTACTACTGGGCGAAGAGAATATTACAGTCTGGATTCGGAGGTGCTTAATTCACTTGTCATGCACCCACAGTCACTATCCCCAATTAAAGGACAGACTGACAGACTGGTAAGGGTAATAATGTCATACACAGAGAAAGGAGAAACTTGAAGGATAGTATTATCGTTCATGGTGAAATAGAGTGAAAAAGTTCCGTGAACACTGTCTTAAATTCTATGGTTTCATAAATGATTGGGTGGCGGATTAACAGTGGTTAATTTAGATGAATTCCCGCAGAGCTCACCTCATCGCGTTCCAATTCACTCTCAGCTTGTAAAATAATGGATCTGTGGATAAAGAGAGAGATGAATGAATGAATGAATGAATGAATGAATGAATGAATGGGTGCAGCTGGTCGAAAGGAATCAAAACACAAATAAAATTCGGACATTCAAATTAACAGAGTGAGTTCAGCATTAGTTTGAATAGTGTACCTGCGATGAACAGATCCCACATGCTACCTGGTGCGCAACTAGGTCACACGAACAGGGGAATGGTCAGTAGATAAGGCTAGCTAGGACTCAAGAAATGAGCAACCGCCGAAAAGCAGCGTCTGCAGCAGTGTCTGAGAATGTAGTGGGCGTAGGCTTGGGAAGCGTCCTCTTTAGAAAATGCCTCAAGGATCTGGGGCCAGAAGTGATAAATGTGCCCCACCGCTAACAAGCATATCATCTACAGTTCCGTTCACCTACTCCACGAGGCTTTCCCGAAGAGGGGGAGGAGAGTGCAAGAACCATCGGCTGACAAGAACACAAACTTGCTGCGGCTTTGCAGATTGCACTAGAACGTGCAAACACAGGAGACTCGACCTCAGATAAAAAGAGCAAACTCTGCTTGGGGTACGGATTCCCAAGAAAATCTTTACTAGTCAGTGTGATTCGTTGAGTCGACCTATACTTTTGTTAGGTAATAAGATTATTTTTTACCTAAAACTGTCTATTTTTCGAGTATTTTCAATCAGGAGCATCTCGAATCAATACTGATCTCGCGGAGATTAATCAATAATATTGCGTCATACGGAAATATTCACTCTGTCCGTCCGATCCGTGGCCTATGACCGATTGAACTTTGCTAACTGTGTACCTGATTGGCACAATCTTTTTCTTGCATTAATCGATGCTATTTTGAGTCACATATAAGCATCAGAGTAAAACTTGTAAATTGACTTGCTTCCTGTGTGTCAAGTACACGTTCGTTGTGCGCTATCTGTGTTTTTGCTTATGTAGCTGGGAGAAGGCTACTAGTGCTCGTGGCGTCCAATCTGTGCTGTGGTCGTACTCGTGGGGCTAGACAACTAGTGTGGCCGTTGAGGTACGTGTGTTCCTTATGTGTAGTCGTGTGATATCTTGTTGTGTGTACATTGTGATCAATCGGGATTCG